TGTGTGTGTGTGTGTGTGTGTGTGTGTGTGTGTGTGTGTGTGTGTGTTGTATGCATACGCAGAAGCCAAAACAGGACATTGGGGTTTACTGCTCTACTGCTCTTTGCTTGCAATGATCTGTCAGTGAACTTGGCATTTGCCATTTCTTGGCTGGATGTTGAGCAAGCCCCAGGGGTTCCCTGACTCCCTCATCCTCACTCTCTAGTACTAAGTTTGTGAGTGTACACAGCCATGTCTGGCTTTTATGTTGGACTAGAGATCTGAACTCAGGTCCCCATGCTTGCACAGCAAACACCCTGACCCATGATCCATCCCTCCAGCCCTCAGAAATGGGATTTTAAAGTGCCAAACCCCTGGATGGGACTTACCCTTGACTAAGTGATTGTCATTTTAGGCTTGTCTTGGCACTTTACCATGTTTGCATGGAGCTCTGAACCATGCTGTTGGCATGACTTACCCATGCATGTGAGTGGAATTCTATTGGCTGTCATTTTTCTAGCATCACCAGTATTGTTACAATGTGAATAAGCTGATACTCCTCTACCTCATTTCTTGTCACTATGGCAGTACATCAGAAATTTCCACTGCCCTATACCTTCCGTTCCTCCTTATTGCACATCTCATGAGCAATTAGCTGTTGAGGAAAAACTGTGCAGTCATTCTTGATTTCTTGTCCCCACACCCCACATCTAGGATTCTCTTGGCTGTGCTTTCTGTCCACTCAGCTTCTGACAGTTCTCAGTGCCAGCCTTGTCTATATGCTGTTCCTTCCACCATTATCTGTCTCCTAGATCCCAACCCCCATTCCCCAGAGATCTCCCTGCTTGCCAGCTTTGATCTTCTATGGCCTGTTCTCTCCAAGCAGCCAGGATACTGGACATTGGATCCTGTTTCTCCTCTTCTAAAAATCCTTCTATGGACTCCCATCTTACTCACAAAAACTCAGAAGTTGGGAACTGGCAAGATGGTTCAGTGGGCAAAAAGCATTTGTCATTCAAATGCTGGTGACCTAAGTTTGATCTGATCCCCAGAGCTCATGGTAGAAGGAGAAAACCCACTCCTAAACTTGGCTTCTCATAGCCATATCTTCCACCTGCATACCATGGCATGCTTATGCCTGTACTTACACATGACACCACTCTCACATACACACATGATCACTTCATACCTGACACCTAGACCACAGTCACCATACAGGATTAGGGGACGCCTACTCTGGAAAGGTCTTTAAAATATGACTGTTGCTCTTCTCATTCAACACCATGTTTTTAGACACATCCTCCTCAACCTTGCTGTATATTGGAATCAGCCAAAAACTTAAATTCTGCTACCAGGTTACTTATGGCTATAAAACAAGATTTTGTGTCATTTAAAAAAAATGTAGTTACCTGGGTGCCACCCCAGAGATTCTGGAGCAACCAGCAGCCTCAGCATCAGAAGTTGTTTTAAAAAGTGAAAAAGGAAGGGAATGAATGTCTCTGTTGGTTTGACAGCAAGAAGTTAGTGTTGCATTCTCTCCCCATTTCCACTGTGGGTTATCCCGTGTCTTACCAGGGAAATTAATGGGGAGCCTGCTGATGCGTGTGGGTGGACCTGCTGAAGCTTTAAGCCCAGAACCCACAGAGACAAATACATTTCCATGGTCCTAATTAAAGCCTTGCTGCTCCAAGTGTGGCCTGTGGAGTATCTTAGTATCAAGCTCACCCTGATCTGGTTAAACATTCAAAACTGCTATACAGAAATCTTGACAGTGCCAAACCTTAACAGCTCAAATGGTTCTGTCGCCTTCTGCCCAACAAGAGAATTAAACAAATACTGTACTATCCCCGGCAGCTCAAGGCTGGATCTCCCCTCAGCCTTGGATAGATCAAGGCTACCAAGGGAATTTAGCATTTCTTCCAGCCAACATGCTGACTATGCCCAGCTAACCTCCTGTTTTTTTTAAGGACATTCATTTTAGACAAGAACTCTACTACTGAGGTATCTCTCCAGCAAGAACATTTACCTTGTAAGATTTACAAGCCAGGGTTTAGTTGATCAGGTGCTTGCTTAGCACACATGCGACATTGGGCCCTATGCCCAGCAACAGGGCTCTCATCACTTGAGAGATGGAGGCACAAGAATGAGAGGGGTTTAAGCCCATCTTCAGTTGCGTAGGATTTGGGTTTTTGTTTTGTTTTGTTTGTTTGTTATTGGTTTTGAGACAAGGTTTCTCTGCATAGCCTTGGCTGTCCTGGACTCACTTTATAGATAGACTGGCCTCATACTCACAGAGATCCGCCTGCCTCTGTCTCCCCAAGTACTGGGATTACAGGCCTGCACCAGTGGGCAGGCAGCTTTGTAGTAGTTTTTAGGTCTCAGAGTAACCTGGCACAAGTCTCACCAGGTACCTATGGCTCCTCCCACTTTCTCATCCCCCCCTACCCTAAATCTCTCCCTTTCAGGGGCTAAACTTCATTTTTCTTCCCCCCAGCTTTGGATCCCTATTTAACTCAACCATTTTGGTCATGCAGTGTCTTGGTCACCTGGCTCACTCTTGGCTTCTCTTTTGCCCTCTCTTCCTCTCTTCCTCTCATGCTTTCCCCAACCACTCTTCTCTCATGGCCTGGTTTACTCCACTGGTCATGTTCAGTCTGGACCCTTCCAGATGCCTCTGGCTGTGCTCATTCTAATATCTACACCTTCTCTACCACCATACCCAGGAGCAGTTATGTCCTCATTTTTCATTCAATAGTGAGTTTGAGGTTAGCCTTGGATACATGAGACCCTGCCCCCCGCCCCGAAGAATCACCTAAAATTTGTAGTTGTCAATACTTTTGCTATCCTTTTGATATATATATATATATTTCTTACAAGACAGAGTGTCTGCAAGAAACTGAGAGCCATACCATCAAAATGTAGTTGTCAAATAAGGTTTGCTAATTCCTAGACCCACGAGAGGCTAGAAGTCTAACTTCAAACCCTTGCCTGTCACCAGACACATTTAACCAGTTTTTGTTAAGTTTTTATTTCTCCAGGAAAGTGCTGGCACCCAGCTTGCCAATTCCTCAGGGATTCTTCATAAATACTTCTGATTAGCACATGCGATTTTCATGCCCACTTTACCAGTGTCGAAGACTGGAGCTTTGCTTAAAGTCACAAAGAAGACTTGGTGCTGGCTTCACGGCTCACTGTAGTGCCATACTAGGGAGAGGGCGCTGTGAAATCTGAGGGCTCCAAGAGCAGCAGCTAGTGAATGTGGTCACAGTAAGATGTGTGCACTCATCTGCGAAGGGTGCTTTTCTAAAATCTGTATTAGTGTGTGTGTAGGAAATGACTGTGTGTGTGTGTATACACGCACACACGTTCACACACACATATGTAGGCTAAATGTTGAAGCTGGATGTCTTCTTCTACCACTCGCCTTACTTTTTACACAGATGTTACTTACTTAACTTAGAGCTCATCTACTGGCTAGACTGCCTGGCCAACATCATCTTCCCCACCTGTACCCCACCCCGGTTCCCCAAGGTTCTTCCTGTTTCCACCTTTCACTGGTTCACAGGCACTCGCTGCCACAGCCAGCTATTTACATGCCTGCTGTGAAGCTAGATCCTTCTGCATGCATAGCAAGCATTTTTCCCATCAGCCATCTTCCTAGCCCAACTTTTCCTTTTTAGTGCAAGAAAGAACTGTTTTAGAGCACTACTCGTCTTTGGGGCTTCCATTATCTTATCTTATCAATAACTAGAGGCCAACGGAGTATGGCTTCTGGGAAAGAAGTCATATCAATTCCATACAAGTGTTGCCTTCGAAACAGCAACAAGGACTGTGCATAGTTCACCTAGCCATCCCCACCAAAGTCAGACCAAAGTCAGTGTTTGATCTTGGTCCTCAGCCACCCTCCTCTGTTTACTCTGCATACTCAGCCCCCATGTTGCCTCCTTTCTTGGCTTGATTGACATCCTTATCTGCTCTCCTAATTTCCTAGAGGGAAGATTCTAGCCTGGTCCTCTTTTGATTCCCACAACTACCCCTCTACCACTGGACCACTTGATGTTTTAACGAAGACTCCTCGAAGGAAGGCTCTCCTTAGGGCTCTGTTTGCCTTGTACTTATAAGACAAAATTGAAACATAGCAAATGGATGGAGTTATATTTCATCATTGCTGTGTCCTCCTTTTCCTGGCTTACCAGATTAGGTCATAAGCCAACATGGAAGCAGTTACCATATTTAAATGCCAAGATCACTCCTTCAGAGAAGACAGCAAAAATACTAACAAGAATGATGGACTTTATTTTTCTGATTATGCGCAACCACCTTAGATCAGTCACTTGAGCTGTCCCTCCTTACCCCCAGGAGAATATACATTGTTCACTTTTAGCCAATAGTATGGGCACTCTTTTACTCATCTCCAGAAAACTCTGTGTCTTGCTTGGTGTGGTAGCTCATGTCTATAAAACTGAACTTAGGAGGCTGAAGCAAGAGGAACAAAGGCAAGAAAAACTTGCATACAGAGGTAATTTCTGATGCATATTTTTATTAGAGCCATATATTTTTATTAGGTGACAGCTTTTTCCAGTGAAGCAAGTATTTATAATGGAAGACCACAAAAAACTTCACTTTGTAGTTTGCCTTTACCAAACTCTACCAGAACACAGTAATTGCTTTATGTGGTAGTCTGAGATTATATATGAAGTTGTTAAAAAAAAAAAAAACAAAAAAAAACCAAAAAAAAAAAAAAAACCAACAACAACACATCAATCAGAAGCCTCTAATTATCAAGTCAATCATCGACTTTTCTTAGGTGTGTGTGTGTGTGTGTGTGTGTGTACCAATCTAGGGCCTTGTACATATTAGGTGAATGCTTTATCACTGAGCTGTTTCTTAGCCCCACTTTTCTCAGAATTTAGATTTTATTAAACATGAAAATAAATTTTACTTCAAAAACCAGTACTGAGGGCATTTTTATTTGAAAGGAAGTGTAGCAGTAAACTTTAAGCCTTGGATTTTTCTAGCTCGTTCCTCAACTAACTCTCACTGCTTTGCTAGATTTTTAATCAGTTTTGTCTGGGACCTATTTGCCCTACTGGGCCTAAACAGAAAACAAGGTTAAAATGTATCACCAGTTCCTAGTGAATATGGTGCAATGGCTTCCTAGCTCTTGGGGCCACAACAGAAGCACAGCTCTTCCGGTGAACACATGTGTAGGCCCCGTTTTTCCCTCAGGTATACAAGATCAGCTTTTTCCTGAGGCTGGAATCTGTGGCTTGATCTTCTTTACAGCTTCCAGAACAGAGAGTGGGTTCACTCTGTCTCCAAATTCTTTTTCTCGGTGCTCAAGAAGAATGCCCTAAAGCAGAAACAAGAAGAGATATCAGTCTTCACTCAGAGTGTTCACTCATGAAGCAGACTCTGAATGCCAGCTGTCCATCAAGCCTTGGGTTGGGCAGCTGAGAGCCCAGATCTGTACCAAACCCAGCACCTACCCTAGAGGAGTCCAATCTTCTGAAGAAGGGGATTGAGGAAGCCATGTCCCAATACTTGGGATATATGAAGCTAGGCATGGTTAATTACAACAAGGATATGTAGGAGGCTTCCTGGATGAGAGGCAGATAAAAGTACATTCCATCTGGAGAGAAGAGAATGAAAACACAGAAAAACCCTATGAAGTAGAGCTCAGTGGCCACCTCGATGGGTGATGAATGGCCATCTGAGAAGGTAGACCCTCACCTTCCTTTAAATCTCTTAACAAACCGGGGTCACACTTCTAATATTATGAGGAAAATGCATTAAGACACAGGACATACCAAAGTTACCACTAAGTAGTAAAATAATAAAATAATGAGTTTGAGATCATTGGGAATCCTTAAAGTTCTTTAACTCACTGTATCTGGACACTTGCCTTAAATTGAAAATAATCTGTACTATGCTTTGTCATTATAAAGACAATAAAAATAAAGAAAAAAAGGTATGAAGAAAGGAAGAAGAGGAGGAAAAGAAGGAGGAGGAGGAGAAGAAGAAGTAGAAGGAGAAGAAACAAGGCCAGCAAGGTGGCTTGCCCAGCAGAGGTACTTACAGTATTGCAGTATACAGGCCTAATAACCTGAGTTCAATCCACAAAGAGGCAAGAGAGAACCAACTACTGAGAGCTGTCCTTTAATCTCCATACACACATTGTGATATGCACATGCCTGCACACACACACACACACACACACACACAAATAATAATTAAAAGTCTACCACACTGTGCTGATATTGTGAATGAGGAAATGGCAATTACCTGCCCAACAAGCCAAATGCAGCAGTGAAAATTTGGGGAAGAATGTATAATGGCATGGGAGACAGTTGTGATCACTACTGTGTGAGAAACCAAGCCAGCTGCCACCCAGCTCTGTTCTGGTGGGTTGCCTTCAGTACCTGACAGAAGGCTCCACCCACCTTTCACTATTTTGCTGTTTTTAGATTCTAAAATTTAGATTTTACATTCATTTAAAGAAATGCATATGCATTTCTTTAAAACAACCAGGTTTCACAGATCATCTTTTTTTTTTTTTTTTTAATTTATACCTAGAGGCACTTGACATAACAGGACTGCAGAAAGTACTTTCAGGAAGAACTCTGGTGAGTCCTGATGCCCAACCAACCCAATTCACCCTCCACCTTGCCAGAAGCTCTGAAAAGAACCAACAAACACCACACCTAACAACACCAGGAATGTGCTAGCGTGGCCATGAGTACCAAGTGAGTCATCACCAGGCAAGAAAAGGCTGCCAGGTGTAGGTGTACCAAACCCTGCCTTAGAGGCCACGACAGGAGGCAGAGGTAAGACAATGAAATCCCACAGGGCCAGAACAGGAAGGGGAGAGGCCACCTTCCAGGGTCATGTGGACCAGGTAACTGAGAACCACTTCTGAGGATAATCTGTAAGTGCTGTGCTGTAAGAGGGGTACTGTCCTTCTGGGTTCCTGGGTTCTCCTCGGTGCTTACTAGCTGTGTCTCTGGCTGACTTGGTTCCTATCTCTAAGCACATTTCCTTACATTTAGATGGGAGTGAGACAGTTAGCATCCCAGACTGGTCAGTCATGAGGAAGGCATGAAACCATACATATGGCAGCTGTAACAATAAGGCAGGTGCTTGGCAACCATTACCATTAAGACATTTTGACATACTTACTAGAATCAATAAACAGAATTATGTGAAATTGGACACCATTCAATGTTAAATTCTAATACAAATAAGTAAGAACAATTACCAATGGATTTTTTTTTTTTTTTTTTTTTACAAATTGATTATTTAATGTATACGAGTACTCTATCTACACATATACCTGCATGCCAGAAGAGGGCATCAGATCCCAGTATAGATTTTTGTAAAACCATCATATGGTTGCAGGTAATTGAACTCAAGACCTCTGGAAGAGCACAGTGAGTGCTTCTTAACTGCTGAGCCATCTCTCCAGCCTCTGGATTTATCTATCTATCCATCTATCTATCTATCTATCTATCTATCTATCTATCTATCTATCTATCTATCTATCATCTATCTACCTACCTACCTAAAGGTGCGCCCCTCCGCTGCCACAACTTATCTCTATTTTTATTCTTATTTCTCTTATGTTGTGAGAGCCAACAATGCAGACTAAGGCTGTTTTCCTACAGAAACAAAACAAAACAACACAAATCCAAGAACTCCCTGCACATGTGCATATCCTATCTATGGTTTCTGGGCAGGCTTGCCTCCAGTTCTTCCTTCTTTGACCCATGCCTGCTGTGTGTCCTCTAGAAGCACCACGACCCAATGTAGAATGTACACCTGCCTCCCAGGCCCACAGGGACCTCATCTCTCTTTCCCAAACCCTTCCTCGGGAGTCTGCACATTGATTCTGGCCCTCATTTCGAGGATTCCTAAGACTCTGTTCACAGAAGAATGGGTTCTCTCCAGGCACAGCCCTGACAGCAAGATCTCCACAGGAAAAGCATGGTCTCTCATATGTACTTGCCACCCTCCCTCATCCTTCTCCTCATTATTTTTCTCTATAACCATCCTTGATGACTTGGGAACATAGAGATTGAGTATATCCACAAATAGAATAAGATACCCGGTTAAGTACAGAAATGCAACTTGAAATAAGAAGTCAGGCCCAGGTCTCCACAGTGGCACACCTGACCAAGCCCACTGGTATAGCTGCTCCCCTGCTCTCAGTCTCAGGTTCACCAACTTTAGTCTGAGTGTCACTGTCTCATGCCCTGACTGTAAAGTGTGTGCTTGAGATGTGTGATCAACAACCACTGGGAGGAAGGAGGGAAGACTCTAAACATGACGATTCATGCCACTCACATAAGCCCATCTGGGGCCTCAATTCTAGATACCCATAGGTTGGTAGTAAACACTGAGATTGTACCTGTTTTCCAGATCCTATCACAAAAACTCCTCCAAGGATGAAGCCTTCACCTTCCAGGTTTCCAGAGAAGCCTCCATTCCAGGCCCGGAATGAGTTATACCAGACACCCAAACGGATGAGGCCCATGAACATCATCTTCCGCCTCTCTGGACCATAGAATTTTTTCTATGGAGCAAGAAAGATCCTATGTGAGTAGTTTGTGTGTCTCACATCCCCAAGAAGGATTCCAAAAGCCCCAGAGCCTGCTATTTTATGTCTATTTCTGCAGCCTAATGCATGTCATTCCTCCCAGAATCATACTCAACTGCCTAGGGAAATAGAAATCTGCCAGCTCTGGATTCTTTACAAAAAACAAACAAACAAAACAAAAACCAGAAGAAAAAAATTCTGTGTTTTATTTTATGTTCTGTTATCTTTGTGATGCAGGGATTAAACCTAGGACCTTAAACATGTTAGGCAAGCACTCTACCACGGGGTTCAATTTCTGGCCTCCAGGTAGTCCCAATCTAAGGAAGCAGCCCGGATTCCCCCACCCCCTTGCTTTCTTACTGTTCCTACAACATTCTTCAGGGGGAGAGAAGAAGAGAGAGAGAGAGAGCTGCATAAATTAAGGGACAAGAGTTTATTCTGTTCTTCCCCACCTTCCTGGGTCAATGGACAAGAAAGGCTTTAGTAGTAAACCAGAATCTGCCTGTGCTATGCTCAGAGAGCTTTGGAACTGTGCAAATTAAGGAATCTGAAGGGGAGGCCCTTCTCCAGCTCCAAGATGGACTCACCCTAGGTCAGGGACCTCTCGCAGCTAAATACTGTTCCCAACAGCCAAAGGCCCAAGAGCCCATGACACACTTTCTTTCTGTATTTTATTTCTAATTATGTGTGAACGTGCATCTCTGTGTGAGTTTGTACATGCGAGTGAGGTGCTCAGTGGACAGAGGAGAGCAGGTTAGCCGATCAGCCATTCAACATGGATGTTGGAAACTGAATGTGGGAAGAACTCTTAAGGAAGGACTCTTAAGTGCTAAGGCATATCTCTGGCCACAACACACTCACTTTTTCATCCAGGAAGATTTCCCCTTTGAAGTAAGGCTGGAAGTCCTTCACTTCTCCCCCAATCTGCTCCTTTACCACAGCATAGAGAGGGACACCCAGTTCATCCAGCTTGGGCTTCAGGGAGGACAGGTCTGCTGCCTCCTGTGGAAGACAAGAAGGTTCAGGGACATGGGCACTGTAGTCAAAACACAAACCATGACCCAAGGCATGGCTAACACTGAGCAGAGGAACAAAGGTGACAAAATACCAAAAACAAGCCAGGCCTGTGGAGCCCAGTCTGCCTGTGTTCAAGGTAGATACTCGGCCACAGGATGGCCTTCAAGCAGATTCCCCAAAGGATACTTTTCTTTTTTCTTTGTAATCTTCTCACAGTGGGTAAGAGAAGTATGCCCAGGGGACCTCTATAACAGTGGTTGCTCCCAAACATGCCCTCCAGTCTCAGCCAGGACATGATTTTCCTACATCATTTTTCCAGTTCATTCCTGCCCTAGACCAAACTAGCCCAAGGGTCCATCAGACACGCGCATGTAGGCTACATGACTGTGGCCTCCAGGCTTCTGTGCAAGCCACCCCACCGCTGCCCCATCCTTGCTAGAAAGATCCCTGGACCTCAAGCATGTTCTCTTTTTTTCTGCTGTGGATTTTTTTTTTTTTTTTTTTGTGCTAAGCCTTCACACCATTATCAAGCGCTGTCATTTAGGTTCCCAAATATGTTTCACTGTTAGATATTCCGTCTTTTGCTTCATAGATACCTCAGTGTCTAGAACATGGTTGGATATGCAGAAGACACTGAATACTTGGTAGAAAGAGCTGAAGACGGACAATGGGAAGGTGTGAGTGGTACAGACTCCCTTGACCCTCATAATCCATGTGCTGGAAAAAACGCAAAATACTTCATAAATCATGAAAAAGTTTCAACCTTAAGGACCCTTTCTTTTTCACATTAGAGCTTCTAATTAAAGAATCATCAGGAAGTTCTTTTAAATGTAGCCTGCCCACCTCTGATACAAATACAGTGAGACATATTTTCTATAACAAGGAAAAAAAAAAGAAAGAAATTAAAGCATAGTTAGACAAGACAGAATCAACTATAACATTTATCAAGTATGAGTAGCAAACTTTGACTGGAGCAGAGGGGAGGGGCTACAGTGTCTCATGTGGCTGGAGACCACCTGTGGGAGATGCGGTTCACTGCTTTCCTGGGCTCTTTCCTCTAGAGGATGTCGCTATATAAAGCCACTGAGAGAAACAGAGTCATACAACTCCTGCCCACACATCTGTTGAGTCACTTGCACTTCTATCCACCCACCTTCTGGACACTGTAAATTTCCACAAAATGCTATGTCAGGGCACAGAGCAGAACACAGGAGAACGGGCTGCAATTAGCAAGTTGCTCCTGGGACCTTCTTTCTGTATGGGTTTCAGCAGATCCTGTCAGAACAGCTTCCGTGCTTGTGGTTGGAGGCACAGTAGATTTGGAATTAAAAGCCCGTGGTTTACACTCCATCTTCAGAGTAACAGAAAATAACGAACCCCTAAAGATGACCAAGTATGAATGACTGTGATCTGTCACATAACCAGACGGAACAGACACTGAGAGGAAACTTAGCTGGACAATCACCTGATCTTAAAGTGAAAAAGTCCTGTGTTAGTTGGACAGGACGAATGCCATTATTGGGATCTTAAATGTAAAAGAGAGAGGAAGAAAGTGTTATATGGATGTTATAATGACCTGAGCAGCTATTGCTGACTTGAGAAACAGAGGGAGAACTCATAAGCAAAGAATACTAGTGGGCTCTGGGAGGGTGTAAATGGCAAACAAATGGACTTTCACTCCAGCTTCCAGCGGAACACAACCGGACTCCATTTGGTAACTCTAACCTCCAGTCCTGTAAGGTAACTGATGGTAAAGTCACCAAACATTTGTCATTTTGCTAAAGCAGCAGGAAGTGAACACACACTAAGCATGCAGTCTGGCTTTGTGGCAACCTGTGCTCCACAGCCTCCTCCTCTGTAAGATGAGAATGATGACAATATTTTGTATTTCTAACAGAACCCTGAGAAACCTTGCACAGGTTGGGGATATTCATCTAGTATGCACAAAGCCCCAGGATCAATCCTCAACATCACAGAAATCTGGATACAGTGGTACATGTCTATAATCCCAGCACTCAGGAGGTGAAGATGGGAAGATCAGAAATTCAATGGTTAAATTTCAAGTGAGAGCTCACCTTGGGCTACATGAGATACTATCTTAAAAAATTGAAAAAAAAAAAAAGGTGCCTTATTGGAAAGGTGCGGTAATGTGTATGCACTCAGAAATATCGACAGATTTTTTATCACATACACAAGCAGAACTATCTTAAGGTTTTTCCAGACTTTCAGAGAAATGAGAGTGATAATCCTTAACAGAGCCAAGGGTGTTACTGGGTGTTACTTGAGGAGCCAAGTGGTTTCAAGGGCAAGAGAACCTCACTACATTTTTCTCCTAGTCAAAGAAGTTACCTCAGAACTTGGGGCTTGTAGTACCACCTGGGAAGGCCACCAAACTACACTGGCCCTCTTTTTATTCATTTATACAGTGACAAAGCCAAGCTGAGGCCACTCCAAAATTCCTTGTTGTACTAGCGTCTTGCATTTCAATAATCATAGCTCTGGCTCTGGTATGTGTTCCCCATAACTGGAATGGCTTCCATTTGTGTTGCTAACCTGGAACCACACTGTAAGAGAACCTTAGCTTCACTGAAGCTTACAGGCCAAATGCATGCACACTAATGGTATAACTGAAGCTCTGTTCAGTTACTCACTCTGTGAGAGCAAAAATGGAGAAAGAGCAGACCACGATCTATAGTGGAAATAGACTCCAGTGGGTCCCAAGGAAGGGCACACAGAAAGGAATGCTACAGCTTCATCCGATAGCAGCTGGCAGCTGACAGTGAGCTTTCCTTAGCATTCTAGACCCTTATCTCAACAAATGTGCAACTATGCTGACCGATAGGAACTCAGAATTTTCTCTTGCTGCTACTGTGGATTAAATGAAAAGTCAGTGGAGGACATGGCTACTACCATACTGGGCAAAAGGCTTGAAAGACAGAGAAAGTCAAATGTGTTGCTAACCCCACCAGGATACATGGAATTGTTAAAAACAGGATCAGAGACTATGTCAAAACTGTATAAAGTAAATAACAGAAGCATCCAGAAATGACAGAAGGCTCAAGAGTACACATAAGCTCTTTGTCCTGGCTAGAAATACTCCAGACCCCACTGTCAGAATGCATTCCTTCTAACAGATCCTCACAGGAACTTACCGCTCGGCAGAGGAAGCAGCCTGGCCTTCGCACAGCCATAATCACAGCCCCGTTCTTTTCCCATAGCTCCTTTGCTTTAAATGTCCTTGGTTCTGAGAGAGAAGAAATAGTTACTATCTCCATCTAGTAGGACCTGTCCAGTCCTTCCCCAACTGTTGCAATGTTCCTAAACTACACTGAGCCAAGCTCAGTTCAGGACCCAGCCCAGGAGGGGACCAGGATGAGCACTCCACACCTGGGAGAAGGCAAGCACAGACAGTGCAGACTCATCTTCCAAAGAACACAAATAAGGACTGAGGATCCTGCTGCACACTTCCATGGTCCCTCGCCACAAGCATCAACTTTCAATGCAAACATCCAAATTGCAATAATTTCTAGCACAATGGCAATTCCACTTATGGCTGGGAGCATTGGACATGGTCATAATTCTGCAGAGCCTAAACTGAGTTTTAGATTTTGACACCCCTCACCAAAATACTGGGTTTTGGTTTTTGGTTTTTGTTTTGTTTTGTTTTCTCAAGCCAGGATTGCTGTGTATAGCCTTGGCTGTCCTGAACTCACTTTGTAGACCAAGCTGGCTTCAAACTCAGAGATCTGCCTGCCTCTGCCTCCCTAAATACTAGAATCACAGGCACACACCACTGCACCCAGCCCCAAAATACTCTTAAAAGAATATTCAAATGAAAAAAAAAAAACCTAAACATGTTAACTGGAATCTTGCAATAGTTATAAACAGAATAAGGTGGAAGATACCCAACAAGTACTTGCTTGGGAGAGTTAGTGCAGACTCATTATAGATTAACATTAATTATTTCCGTATTCCCCAAAGTTATCCACATACTTGTGGGATGCAGTGTAAACAAAAACAGAGGGGAGATCTTTAAGACCTGGGCTGAACAAAGCTTGGCAGTTTTCTCTCTATGCTCTTCCAAGATGACCTGCTATGACCCACCACACTCCAGCCTTCCTCAGCCAGCTCCCTCACCTACTGAGCATATGAGGATGTCTTCTCTCTGAGAGTACTAGCCAGAGGACCACCCAACCCATGAGCCTTAATGTTTACCAAGACATTTCTGCCCCACCTGGGCATGACTGAACCCTACTGAGCCTGGGCTCTGATGTGAAATGCACCTGGCAGGAGTAGAGATGGCATGATTGAGTGGAGCTCACAGCTCCTGCCATGGACTCCAGGTGACAGGTACATAGGCTCCTGGGTCCTAAAGTTCCGCCCCCTTGCTGCCTCTTCATCACTGCCAAGTTCACCACAAAGTAGCATCAGCTCCTCAGATCTCCCTTTACAATATGCAAAGGCTTACTGTGGACTGGGCCCTGCACCATGCATCAGGAAGGCAGTATGGAGTAAGCTGTATTTCTTGAGCTTACTTCACTCAGACAATTCTATTTATTTTATTCTTTGTGACAATTTGAAAAGCCCTGGAATTCCTCAGAATACTCTCTGGAATAGCTGATGATGGTAAAGTGATGGTAAAATATTACTGAATATTATGGAGCAATTTATCATTGCAGTTAAGGCAACAGTAGTAGAGAGTAAAAATGACTTTGATAAGAAAAAGATAAATTAGGGGCTGAAGAGATGGCTCAGTGGTTAAGAGCATTGACTGCTGTTCTAGAGGACCTGGGTTCAATGCCCAGCACCCACATGGTAGCTCATGATTGTCTGTAACTCTAGTTCCAGGGACTCTGATACTCTCATAAAGAAATACATACTGGCAAAACACCAATGCACATGAAATAAAAATGAATTAAAAAAAGAAATTGATAAATTAGCCACTAATACCAAGATCACATCTATGTGACTACTTGCAAGTATAGACAGGAATACAGCAAAATAAAAATGATTGTGTTTAGGCGATGTAACTATTTGTAACTTAAAAATTGTTATTGGATTTCCTCCTAATATTGCTTCAAGAAAATGGAACAATTACTAAAGGAGTTAAGCATGCATGTTAGCACCCTGGAAAAGTACTGATGCTGGCAGTCACTCCTTACCTTTCTCCAGTGTTTTCAGGTCTATGTCTTCCAAATATTCCAGTGCCGCTTGCCGGGGCTTGGACAGAAACATGTCTGTGTTGGCCAGGAGCAGTGCCAGAGCCGCAGCTCCCAGGGCTCCTGCACCGATGGACCACATACCCATGGCAAAGAAACTTGGGTCCTGGAGGAAAGACATGTCTGGAGATTGAGAAGAAGGAAGATGTTACTGTTCCCACAGGACAGCTGGAATCTGACTTCCTGTCCAAGACTCCAGTAGGCAACTGGCCAGGGGGCCAGGGAAGAAGGGCCTGAAGCATGGAGAGTTGGGAGTTGGGACTGGTCAGAGCTGCTCAGCTGCTTGTCTGAGTCCTGTTTGAGAGGTTGGGAGAAGCACAGACACATGCAGATTCGTGTCCCAAGGAGCTCACCAGGGTGGGAGGAATAAGGAGAGAAATGACAGCCTTCTAGGGGCTTTTCTTGCATCTCTGCCTCACTGGCACCTGCTGCTCAGCCTACTTGGCAATCCTCTCATTTGCTTTCACAGTGAGAGTGGCAAGTGGCTCAGCTATCACTTCCTGGGTAGGGACAGCTTTCTCATCTGTGATCAGAGGATACTTATTTTGTTACCCTATCTTGAGTTTAAGAATCTCCCAGAAACAAAGCCTGCATTCTATTCATTCAAGCCCCAGCCACTGCCCAGCAGGTCCTCTTTCAGGGTAGATAGATAATCTTAGTCAATTTCTCCCAGCTGAGAATAGCTTTCTCACCCATTATAGAAAATAGGCTTCCATTAAAAAAACAAAACAAAACAACCCAGTTTCAACAGCGCCAGTGCATAAAACTACAGCTGACAAGAAAGCAGATACTACCCGAAGCCTACCACCTAGAGACAGCCAGTTTAACAGACAGTTAACAGTTTAACAGATACTGTTAAACACCAGTATCTAAGAGGACAACCTCCTCCCTCCACACACCCAGGAACACAACTACTAACATTGTTCCCAGCTAGGGCCTGGTCACCTCACTAGTAAGGCTCCCTGCAGCTGGGTCTACCTGTGTCACTGGGTGGTAAATCCAGAAGCATCCCACCCCAGAACAGCAGTCCATACTCCATCCAGCTCACCTCCTCCCGACAACTACATGCAACATCAGTGCTTCTGTTGGCTTTCATTCTACCCTAAGATCTCATCCATCCTGGTACTTCCTCTGGACCCAGCCTAATGCTTGAATCACTGGGGACAGGACAGGGGCAGGAGTAAGCCACCTAAGAGTCTTAATTTCACCCTGTAATCTATAAATTTCTCCAAAGACTGAGTGGAAGCTGGGAAATCCACATCACTGCAGAGACAGGAGGTTTTAAGCAGGGAGGAAGTGACCCTTGGGGGCAACTTTGGGAAGGAAAGAGTAGACCAGACCAGCACTAAAGCCAGCTTAGGAAGTTCAAATTTGAACTATGTCTAGTGGCATAGGCCTGTATCTCAGCTACTCGGCAGGATGAAACAGGAGGATCCTATCAAGTTCAAGGTCATTCTGGGCAATTTATTGAGTCACTGTCTGAAAGCAAAAACAATTTGGAGACCTAGTTGGTGATAGAGTACTTGCCTAGCACACACAAGGTTTAATCCTCAGTACATTATAATTAAATTAATCAATAAATTAATTAAAAGGGAACCCCAGGCAAGGGATGACCAAAAATATGACATTTTTAAAAAACGAGGAATGAATTATACACATGGGAAAAGGAAGAGGAGGCCAGTATGGGTGTTTGAAGGAGTGATGGCTGCATGCTCCTGTGCTCCTGTGCTCCTGATATAAGGGCTTTCAGCTGGGAGGGAACCTGCCTGAGAAGCACAGAAAGTGGTTCTATGGTCAATGGCTCACCACAATCAAGTGCTGAAATGAATTCAATACAGTTGAGTGATGAACATGACTTACACAACCAAGGTATTGGGCTCAGCAGGAAAGAACGTTTCACAGGCCTGCTTCCAATTTTTCTTTGGCAGAGTTACGCATAACTGGATTATAGTTCACAGAACAATTAGGAGAGCAATCACAGCTCCCGGACACCTGCTGTAAACAGAACAGCCTGGAAGAATGCTGGGAGCTTTATGTCTACAACAGTTCTAGATTGTGTACAGACAGGTGTACACAATTCAGGAGCACACGAGTGCCATCATCTGGTCACAGATGTGTAAGCATATCTGTGAGAGGATGCACAGGCCAGCTTACATCTCACCTACAAATGGACTCCTGGAACCCAGCAGTGCATTTGGGTGTCCAGGGACCTCCCACCCTACCAATGCATCCCTACTGAACACTTAGATTCCGCCGGGCTCCATTTCCCCACCACTCAATGACAAGCATCTGGCTTGGTTACTCATGGTCACATCAAGGGAATTCAACTCAATTTAGACTGAACATTTATTTTTATGCTGTATTTGTTATCGACCTGTTGATGGAATGACGATTCTGGAAATGTAGTATGGCTTGCGATCCTTAAGAAGACACATGCTCAGTTTCCAAAGTAACAAAAAAGTAGGAAGGTTAGGCAGCTTGCAGAGTAAGAACACTTGGGTTGTGGTGCCACAAGGCGCCAGTCTGGGCAGCCATGGGGAAAAAAGGAGTGGCTTTGGAATTGGCGTGGGACACAGTTAACAACATGAAAGCTTGGCCAAACCAGGAATTATTGAGCCTAGCATGAGCAGACTGATCAGACTGGGAGTTTCTGGGAGAGGAAATCCAGAGTGATCCACTCCTGCAATCCAGCCCACCTTCCGACAGCCACCTGAATCAGCACCTGTGTTTTCTCAGGGCTGTCATATTATCCTAGAATCACATTTAATCTCAGGCCTCCCAAGGACCCCACCTCATTCTGTATGTTCAGATCACCTGGGATAGGTCTAGAGTAGAACCACCTGATAAGACTCATTTTCCCTCTGCAGGATTTGATTAGGTGCTGAAGGTACACTAAGAACTCAAATTCATACTTCCCAGAGGCTACTGTCTCCTTATCTCAAGTTCAAGAACTGTGATTCAAGATGTGAGCTTCAAAGCTACTCCAGGCGTAGTGTTTTCCACCCTTACCCTTATCCCCTACCCCTATCGTGATTCAAAAGAACAAAAGCAGGACACTCCTCTGAGAGCACCCCATCCAGGCTCTGCAGCCCAGGCTCTCTCAGCAGTACTCATGGGAGGCAGACTTCTCCGTGAACAGGCTCACGCTGCTCCCACCGGAGCAGGTGGCTTTTCTGCTGCAGATAAGTAGTGAAAATGATCGCTAGAAGTATCCAGCTACCAGAGCTCAAAGCAACTCCTCTTCTGGCAAGTGTTGGAACAGATACAGCGACAACTTGCTGCCCAGACTTAGCAGAACCCGAGTCACTTACTCTCACTCCTACAGGAAGTGTGGGGAGAGAGGTTTTAATAACTGGATAGGACTGTTAGTGAGTGCTCCAAGAGGCCAGAAACCCCAAATTTTCTAAGTGGCACTTGACATATTTGGCTTACGTTCATTCTCTTGATTGTCTTGTAAAGCAGAAGATATTCTCTTTGCAGAGGCAACACTAAGATTCTGCGTTCAGTATTTTCCCTATCAGCAGGCAGCAATACTGCCATCTATAGTAAACAAGAACAGCACTCAAAAGCTTACAGTCTTTCTGCTGTCACACCCAGCCTTACCACACATCCAGAAGTGGGTCTGTGGAGGTCAAGGGAGGTCAGGAGAATTTCAAACAGGCGGCTTATTGTTTTTAGTCATCAAATACAGTCTCACTAGGTCTGGCTTGAAGGAAATTTACCATACACCAGCTGTCCCTTCTCTTTTCTCCCCCTCTGTCTCTCTGACAGAGAGCTGCAAGGTTGTTTACAGAAGAGCCAACCCCCACCTGACAGCTATACTAGTTAGCTCTCCATGCCTGGCCTTATCTGATCCCCCTTGTCTCCCAGAAGGTGATGTTGGATAAGACTGCAAGGGAACAGCAGCTGTAAGAGCTCAGAGTGGCAGCTCTGGTCTAGGGAGATCTGAGGGTGGGTAGAGGGAACCCAGCTGGATTCTCCAAGCCAATCTACTACCATCTTCCCCATGCCCATCTTCTGAACTCCAAAATGAAGGAATGTCATGGTGCCTTAGACTCCAGGACATCCTCTTACATCAATAAAAACAGCTCAATTTGGAGCTCCAACATGGCCCACCTGCCCATTCATGCCTTATCCAGCTTCATGCCCCCTCCCCTATATCCAGCCCTCAGCAGGCTGGGAACTGTGCTTACCATCTGCGGTGTCCACTCCTCTGCTGACAAGAGATTCTGACCCACAGGGTGTGCAGGCAGGGTGAGCTGGCATTGGGAGGGCTGGGGGTGGAGCTCTGGAGTCTCGCCTAGGCCCCTAAACATAGCCATGCCATAGGCAGGACTGGGCCACACAGATACCCTGGGGCTCCTTCAGCTGCCAATGATTAATCTCCAGAAAACATCAAAGTGGCCAGCTGCCAAGGCCCCCTAGTTCTTTAAAAAACTGAGCAAAGATTTGAGTCATTTGCAGTCATGCAGACTGTTAACATTTCCTGCGTGCCAGCAGACCCTTTCTGCTATGGTGCATACTAAGCCAGGCCCTTAACACAGCCCACATGTCACACTCCTAGCACCAAAGGGACAGGTCCTTTTGTCCATGTCTTTTTGCCCAGCCTGCCCTGTACCTATTTCTTACTCTACACCCTGAGGGCCTAGGTTTGAGTCCCAGCACCTGCATGGCAACTGGTAGTCCTGTTGGCTTCCTGGGTGCAGAGTAAGAAATGGGTACAGAGCAGGCTGGGCAAGAAGGATCCTTACCTGCTATTTATCTATTTTTCACCTCCTTTTCTTTTCCCCCTCACAACGTGAGAGGTGTACATATGTTCACACATACTTGGGCCCTCGAATCAGATAGGGCCTTCAGCTGACAATGATTTCAGGAAAGAGTTTCAGCAGAAAGTATTACTCATGTTGGGCCTTACCAACAGGTAGGTATTTATCTAGCTGGCATGCACAGTGAGGGAATTCTGGGTAAAAGAATGACATGAGTAGTAAATTGTGCAGTCTTGCAAGTACAGTGTTTTGCTGAGGGTACTGTAGTGGCTAGGGATGAGACCAGAAAGGTGGACGGAAGTAAGGCCCTGTGAGCTCTGGTGAGATGCTCATTGTAAAAGAAGCTAAACTGGAGGGTAGAGAGTGATAAGATCATATTAGCTAGGTACTAGATAGATGGATTGGTAGTTAAGAGCATTGGCTAGGCTTCCAGGGGGCCTGGGTTTGAGGCCCAGCAAGTAGATGGTAGCTAACAACCATCTGAAATGCCAGGCCCAGGGGATCTGAAGCCCTCTTCTGGCCTCACTAGCACCAGGCAGGCATGTACATGGTATACAGGCATACTTGCAGGCAAAACACCCATATCATAAATAAGATAATAAATAGCATGGAGAGTGAAGTAAAGAAGCAAAGTAGAGCTTTGCCAAGTTCATTTGGTTCTGGGCAGTTCAGAGTCATGGGGATCTAGGCTTAGACTATAGCAGTGAGGTAAGAAGACACATGTGAGACTGACAGAATTTTGCCTGATAAAGTGTAGGGAGTGAGGGCCAAGGAAAGGAAAATTGACACTAAGTTCCAAGCTTGAGCAGTTTACTGGATACTTGTGTCATTCACTCTAGAAGAGAAATCAGTAGTAGATGGAGGTCAGTTTTGGATCTACTGCAACAGGTCCATATATAACTGCCTACCTGGAAACTTTGAGACAGAAACCAGAATGGGGACTTAGAGGACATTGCCAAGGTGAGGTTTCTAGGAAGGGTGGACAGTTTCAGAGAATCCACTGAAGGGTCAAACCTTAAGTGGCTTGAAAGCATTGCTATCTGAAGGCTCCGTCTGATTTCAGGGCCCATCCATGTGCGAACATACACACACCTTTACACACTGTGGAAAATGGGCCTCATCTGTTGTGTTTTGCTTATCTGTCTGACTTCACAGTACACAGAGGGCAAGGTGGATTCACTCCTTTATCAGGCACTTGCCAAGGATCTGCTACATGAAATGTACGTAATGTAAAGTAATGTACATGTAATGTATTGAACCACTAATAAAGGGATTTGAATTTTACTCTTGAAATTTGACAGTGGAGCAAAGTTGGAACTAGCTTGTTGCTGCTCAGTTTTCCCTCCGTGTAGACAGATGCTCATTCTGTACACTGCTAGCCTGACCTTAGAGAAAAAACACTCAGGCTTAGGACTCGACTTTGTACTGAGTCCCAGCTCTGCTGTTCACTGGCCAGGTGATGGAACACAGCTGAGGTGGACTGTACTCACTAACTAGACAGAAGGAACTAGAAATTCCCTGTCCCCACTCTCACGCCCAGAGTCCACTACGCCCAATGACTACATCTACATGGAGAGTCTTGAGGGCACCCAGCACCACTGAGCTCATTCTGCCTGAGCACATTCTTACTTTCTCCAGCTTGTTCAAAGAGCTGCCTCGAGGCAGGAACTGATAAAGTCTTAACAAAACAAAAGCATCAGCATTGGGTGGGTTAACTCATGTCTGAAACATGTAGGGACAGCAAAAAATTCTAAGCATCAAGGGAACACCTGCCTTGCCCAGCCTCACCCAGGGACTCTTCCCACTTCAGAAAAAGCTGTCCTGAGGCAGACCCAGGGGATTAAAGAAAGAAAGGTGAGAGAAAACAAAGGGAGGAAAGAGGCTCCTGATTTCCTTGTCTCAGGCCTTCAGTGAAAAGACTTAGAAAGATGTTTCCCTACCTGATCTCTCCTCCAGCATCCTCTGCTATTAAAACACTACTTCAGTAATCCCTTTTTTTTGAGTAAATAAAGACTTAAGACACAGAGAAGCTGACTAGCCCAAAGTCATATGGTAAGAAGGGCATCGATGTCTATGCTGGGCCTCTCTGAGTTTCCCAACTCCCAATCCATGGCATTTTACTTTGCTTCGGACTCTCAAGGTCCCACAAAGCCAGCCATGTATGTACATAAAGCAGACAGCACACACATACATTGGAGTCTAATGCAGCCGGTACTGAAACCTGATCATTGGCCTTAAGCAAGCTGAGAGCAAGATTACTCCTGAATGGGGCCTGGTGTCTGGAGAGAACCCTAGTCTCTCCCAGGCTCAATGCTTGGCAAGCAGCTTACAAGCCAATGCCAAATGTTTTCTTAAGGATCACTCTGCCCATTCTCTGCAGAGAAGCTGGTCTGCAATTTTTCCTATATACAGTAACCTAACAATGCCCTGTTAATTTTGGATGCCATAGAAAATGCCAGCTTAGTGGTGTGAAAACAGCAAGCAACAGGAGAACACTCCCTGCCACCTGTGGAAATGGCCACCTGCAGTCAGCTGCACTCAATCTCCAAGTTTCAGCTGTTTTCTGGGGTGAATGCCTGGCTCCATCCCACCCTCCACTGGAACGCTAGAGTCAGAAGCATGAACAGAAGAGAATAAGACACCACAGTCAGCAATCCGGGAAATGGAGCCACAACTAAGAGCGAGGGCTATAGCTGACTGGGAAGTCCTCTCCTCTGAGAAGTGACTCCCTCCAAAGATCTGGCCATTCTGCTGACTTTTCAGCCTCCTGCCTTGGCTTAGAAGACCAGTTGGTGAATATGGACAAGTTATATGACTGTAGACAGGAAGATGAGGACAAACCTCCAAAAGACACTGCGTTCTGGCAATCAAATCCTAATTCCTTGTGTTGTGGCCCCAAGAGGCCATTCTATCGCTCATCACCTTAGGATCTTCAGAAAAGCAAGCTGAGTTCAGTAGGGGCACATGTTGAAGAGGAGCAACATGAAACACAGCAGCACTCTAGGAAATTGAAAAGGCTTCATAATGGTTTTTTTTTGTTTGTTTGTTTTTTTTAAAGACAAAGTCTTGATATGTAGCCCAGGATGGCCTAGAACTTGCCACCTGCCGACCTCAGCCTCCTGAGTGCTGGGATTTTAGGCAATACTAGGAACAGTATTGTCTTTATATTTTGCAGGATTCAGATCAGATCCACTCACTGTGTTAGGAGAGCAAAACAGACACCAAACATGGAACAAGTTCTCCAGCATTACTTTGAGCTAACTCTTTGGCTCTCCACATTGCTTGTGGCAGTGCCAAAGGCAAAGGGCACTGCTCAGTTGCAGTCTCCCTTGGCAGAGGCCACTGAGCTCAGAGGTGAGGCTAGCTCCTTCCACAGCACCTCTGGACGGTGTCTGCCACATAAGCCTGTCCAAACAGACACTTAGCATTTCACAGAGCAGCTAGCCAACTAGCAAAAACAAAACAAAACAAAGTTGCTGTTAATCTGAGATACTAAGTCTGCGCATGCACCTTAGAATTCCAGTCCTAACCAAACCTTCTGGTGCCATGCAAACCTCAGATGATTGTTAGAAATGAAGAGTGCACTCAGGAGGCAGAGAGAGGAGGACTGCAAATAAAAAGACAGCTTCTGGAAAATCCAAAGCTACCCTGAACTACATATTAAGACCCTGTCCAGAAGAAGAAAAGAAAGAAAAGGGAAAGGGAGGGGCTGTGAATGTTTTGTACCCCTTCAAGAACAATACAAAAGGTCTCAAGTCAATGGCATCCCTTATAAGGAAGGAGACTAAAGGAAAAGTCAGACCAAGCGTGGTCACATAGGTCCAATACCTACAAGTAGTATGAACATGGACCAGCCATGCTTTACATCAGTAAAATGGGAACAATCTCTGATTCATTCTACAGGGATGAATCAGGATTAAAGGCACCAAGGATGCTATAAGCTCTTTATAAAGACTGGCAGTGATGTTTAATTCTTACTCATTTCTGGATTAGTAAGCAATCACCCCTGAAATGTTAGTTTTTAAAAAGCATGAGGCTGGTTAACCGATGTTCTCTGCAAGAGGTTTATTAAGTGGGTATGGAGGAAGGGGGTAGCAGGACATGGTGGGGGGAGAGAAAGGGAAATGGAAAGGGGGCCACCCCAAGAGAGAGAGGGAGAGAGAGAGAGTGTGTGTGTAAGAGTGCAAGAGAGAGAGAGAGAGAGAGAGAGCAAGAGAGCGACCAAGTGGCGGGGTTAGCCCTTTAAGGGGCAAGGTAACCACGCCTTCCAGGTGTGGCCACCTGGCTGGCGACACATGATGACATCATAAGTTGCTGGGTAACTCAGGAGCAGGTTGTGTTCCAAAATACTAACAAATATATACAAAATAGGATTTTCTGATGAATATCTTCTGAGGAGTCAGAGTGGGCCCTGTGAACCCCAGTTCTGTCTCCAGGCCTGGGCCAATGCAGAAGCATATAAGACTCTATTAGCAGACTCCATGACAATGCTTTTCAAAATAAAGCCTGAGTTTCTTACTGTCTACCAAGCTCGAAGGTGGGGGGGGGGGGGGTTGTTGAAATAAAAATAAAACCAAAAAACTAGGTAACAGGGCTGTGAAAACAGATAGGAGTCACGGTGTCAGCTTGACTCTGGCTATGTGCCCTCTCCACACAAACTCTGCCAGCATACACCTTAGCTTTCTTTGCATTCTCTCTCTAAGACCATTTTCACCAACTCCTTCAACAGATCAGCAAGCTGGAGGATGGGCTGTATTGGTGCTCTGCTCATCTCCTCATTAACATACCTTAGCAGTGTTTGGAAATTTACAACTGAGCTTTCTAAGTCAAAGGTTTGTAACCTTTGGATGAGAAGGGAAACAGGTGCCTCTGACACGGCCTCACAGGACACCCATGCAGAGATAGTTAGGATGGCTACTGCCACCCCT